TTATTTTGATATATCACAGTGAAAGATTTATCGTCCTCTTTTTTTTTTTTTTTTTTTTTTTTTTTTAAAAAAAAAAAAAAAAAAAAAAAAAAAAAAAAGAAAAGAAAAAAAAGAATGTACCTTTCCATGAAGAAAGAGAAGTGGAGTAAGCCAGACCTTCCTGGGTACCACTTCCATAAGTATGCAGGCAGCTGCCCTTGAAGGTTGGTTGGGTGCATTTGGAGAGGAGGAGACTGGCAGAGGGAGAATGGTAAGTGTGATTCAAATTTGGGAAGAGGATTGTGATGGTTTGCTGGGGATGGGGCGGGAATGCTCTGGAATAAAGGGAACCTTAGGCCTGTTGGAGCTCTTCCCTAGGCCCACCTCAGTCCCCTCATCCCCTTCCAGGAGGTGGAGTCTGAGGAGGGACAAACAGGTTCACGGCTGTGGGAGTGGGATGCAGTGAATGAGTTGTGTGGGAAAGGGGTGAGGGCAAGGTTATCTTCCAGTGTTAGGGACGCAGGAACGAGGTGAGCGGAACAGCCCGGCTCCACCTTTCGCTGGTCGCGGTCGGGAGGATCAGCCCCGGCGAAGGAAACTCCGCCCCCGCTGATCCGTCGCGCCCCGCCCAGGCCCGCAGCGCGGCTGCAGCGCGAGGGGCGGAGAGGCACAGCGCCGCGAGAGGACCAGAAGCCCAGGTCGCTCGCATCCCAGTGCCGCAGGAGACCGAACACGCGCCCGGGACGCTGCTCTCCCCATCCCCCCGCCGCCGTCCGGGCGTCCCAGCTGCTCTGTCGGCCCCAGCGACCGATCACCTCTCCTCCGCCCGGACCCCAGCGAGCGCTCCCTTCCTCCGGAGCACATACTACCCCCTTTGCTGCCAGAGAAGTGCCCCAGCCCAGCGCCGGCGACCACTATGGCGGAGACCAACAACGAATGCAGCATCAAGGTGCTTTGCCGATTTCGGCCCCTGAACCAGGCCGAGATTCTCCGGGGTGACAAATTCATCCCCATTTTCCAAGGGGACGACAGCGTCATTATTGGGGTGAGTGCCGCCTCCGGAGGGAATTCTAGGAGAGGGCGGGCTGCTAAATCTTTTCACCTCGGAGACTTCGCCCCTCTGCCTGTCATTCTGCATCCCCTCCCAGCCGCGTATCCTCCATCCTCATCACCGCAGCCCCTCCTCTCCCCTGCATCAGGGTGGCTGGGTGTGGCCTGGTCGGGCCTGCAGCCAAGTCTCTGCAGAGTGAGAGGGGGCTCCTTCCCCGTCATCAGGAGCTCCAACTCCCTTTTGCTACTTTTTGTCAGCATCCCCACCCCTTAGAGTCTGGTGCCCTGTTTTTCTGATGTTTTCCCTCTCTCCGAGAGATAGCGCATTTTCCCTTTGTTTTTGGCTCAGATCTCTACCCCAACCTCCTGGAAGAGAGAGGAAGGTTTGCTGGAGGTTTGAATGGGAGTGGGTTCTAGCACCAAACCCTCCATCATCGCCTGAAGTGGTTGCAGCCTGGACTTGGGGAGGGGGAGTACAGAGTGATGAAGGGTTTTCTGGGAAAGAAATATCTTGATGCCACACCCAGTTGGGGGGGAGTATAGCCTTTAGAATCCTAAAGATATGTTTTCCTTTCTATCCTGTGGCAAGAGGATTTCAGACTCCTCAAACCTTTCCAAATAAAAATGCTCAAACCCTGAGATGTACTTACCTGCTTATTCATCTTAATCTTGAAGAGCCAATAAAAGGCAGTTGACTGCTACCTCATCATGGCAGCCCCTACCCATGGAGGAGATAGTAAGAATCAGAATTAAAACTTATTGGGTATGTGACACTCTGTGTTTAGTATTTAATTCTCAAAACTGCACTCTGAAGTAGTATTGATATTTCCATTTTACAGATGGGGAGATTGAGGCCCAAAGAAGTTGAATGACTTCCTCAAGGTCATGCTGAGAATCTATAGATCTGTTCAGTTTACAGATCGGAACTTAAAGCTTTGACTCCAGTGCTCACATGTTTTTTCTTTGTATCATCTTAACTCCCCAGGTTTCTCTTCTGGGCCATTATCTGTGTTGGCCTAAAGGGACTCTCCAGGCCTCACCTATTCCACCTTTCTTATGGTATTAGGTATCTTTAGGCTGTGGCTGGGGTGAAAGGATCTGGGATTGAGTTCTGCAGGGCCTGGGGGTGCTGGCCCAAGAAACCATTACCAGTTTCTGAAGGGAGGGGCATATATGAGGGCAATCCTCAAGGTCAGGGGTGATTCTTACTCCACAGTGCTTAAAGCAGATGGAAACATGCTTATTAAAGGAAGGAGAAGCCTGGCCCTCTGAGTTAGGGAAAACAGGACTTTCCGTAAACATGCCTTGGAGAGACCCCTAGCCCCCACCCCTAGCCTGTGGCCTCCTTCACCCACACTGTGAATTCAAGTGGGAGCTTTTGCCTTGTGTATGTGTTTATATGAGTGCATTTGCCACAAGGAGGGAACCTGTTTGTTTTGCCTTAGGGACCCTTAGACTTTGCTGTCTGGTCAGTCTGGCTAGGCTAAAAGAAAGCCCTAATTGGCCCTGGGGACCCATCTCTCTAAGTAACCTGGCTGGAAGCCTTTAGTAGGGGAACCAGAGTTCAAGATCCCCTTAAACTATATAAACTGAAAAACAGGAGCAGGTGGTCATGGGAAGCATATCCACCAAGGGCGTCTTCTTTAAAACTAACTTCCTTGTTCTAGGTTTATCTGTTTTATGAGAACTGACTTCTTTAGGCTCTGTGGGCCATTCTGGTGGATGGGATGGGTCCTGGCTGGTGATGTTGGGAGGAGGGCTTCAAGGAGACACCAAGGGAGATGGAGAGAGAGTAAAGGTGGGAAGAAGTCCACAGCCCCCTGACAGCACAGATTCTACCTCAACTCCACAACTGGCATCTTCTTATCTGCTCTGTCTGGTGTTTGTGGAGGTGTACCTTTGTCTTTCTGTGTCTTCCCTCGCCTGAGCCTTCCTGTCAATCTCTTACTCAAGATATAAATGCTTATAAGGGGCCATTTTGTCTCAAGCAACAACATCCTTAGAGCTGTCTGCCTATTGGACTTTGGTTCTTCATTCAGCCAAACTGGCTATAGAAGGGATGATTTTGAGGAGATCCTGGAGGGTCCCAATGAGGCAATGGCAACTCCTACCTCTTTTCCACTTTTCCACTCTAGCTCTCTTTGGGGACCAGTGTATGGGAAACTGTTTAAGGATCTTTGGAAGAAGCTGCTTCAGTAAAATGAAGGAAGATAAGGTGGGATTGAGGGGGAGAGGATAACTTCCCAGAGCCTCTGCTCCCTCCCTGATGGCGCTCCTTTCTGCAGCTTGGTCATCCTCCATCCTCCTCAGAGGCCTTTCTGTTCCCGGACTTCATTCTGTTTGCAGAGAGCATGATTGTAAGCTGGTGAGATAACTGTAGGTTTTGTCTTTCCCCCACCCTCTAACTTCTCTCGAGAATCCAGGGGGTAGGAGTAGACCAAGTCAGTGGCCTGAGTCATAATAGAAAGGTACCTGGGTCACAGTCTGTGTGTGGTGTATGTCTTTTCTCTTTTTACACTTAGAACTCAGTGTGACTTTTTCACTGAACTCATTCAAGTGTTTCTCTGGGCTTTCCCATCTCTGTCCCATGCTTGCTGTTGGGGCTGCTACATCTGTACCAGATGTTGGGGAGGGATGACAGCAGAACTCACTCTCTCTCTCTCTCTCTCTCTCTCTCTCTCCCTCCCTCCCCCTCCCCGTCCCTCTCTCCCTTTCTCCCTTTTCATCTTTTTCTCCTTCTCTTTCCCTCTCTTTCATTCAACTGTCCAAAGCTATTTTCCTCAAGTCCCCCAAAGTAAATTATGAGGTTTTTTTGTTTGTTTGTTTGTTTGTTTGGTCTTTTTGAGGCAGGGTCTCCTTGTAGCCCCAGCTGGCCTGGAACTCACTATGTAGACCAGGCTGGCTTTGAACTCACAGAGATCCGCCTGGCTCTGCCTCCCAAGTGCTGGGACTAAAGGCGTGCACCACCACGCCTGGGTAAATTATGAGGTTGACTTGCATTTTATTTATTTATTTTGTGTGTATGATGTATGTATCTGTGGGTGTTCATGCCACGGTACACATGTGGAGGTCAGAGGACAACTTTCAGGAATCGGTTTTCTCTTTCTACCAGTGGATCCCAGGGATTGAACTTAGGTCATCCGACTTAGTGAGATGCTCCTCTACCCATTGAACCATCTCCCTGGCCCAGTTCTGTTCTGTTTTGTTTTATTTTTGAGACAGGCCTTCCTGTGTGTCTCAGGCTAGCCTGGAACTCTATATATTCCAGGCTGGACTCAGATTCTCTGTTCTCCTGCCTCATCCTCCTGAGTACGGGGGTTGCAGACATGTGCCACCACCATGACTTTGAGATTCCTTTGATAGCTGAAGGGGAAGCACTGATCTTGTTAGCTTTAGGGGAGTCTCATAAAGGAAAATGGAGAGAGAAGGCAATGTTCACTGTGGCTAGTGTCTCTCCAGCATTACCATGGCAACAATCCCCAGGGGTGTCACCATGGAAATCAGGCCTGGTGCTTGAAGTTTGGGTTCTACCGAGTGCTTTCTTGACAGTTGAGCAGGTCTTTGGGCCCCTGATCTTGGCTTTCCCACTAGCTTTAGTCAGCACATGGATGGGAAACCATAGCATGATGCTGAGCACTTTCCTGTGCAAATGGACAAACTGATGATGACATGGAGGCTTTGAGTGGTTTCAAGGACAATCATAGAGCCCAGGCTGTGAGACATTGTAGAGACACCCTCTGGAGAAGGCTAGGAGGACTACAGAGCTTGCAAGGCTAGGAGAAAGCCGTCTCAGGGCAATTCTTAAAGATGGAGAGACTTTTGGGGAGTAGTTCTAATGGAACAGGTCTTTTAGCCTCTGATACTTTGCCAGCCACCTGAGTGTTCCGTTACCTAGAAATGGAGTTGGTGAAGGAGGCCCCCTGAAAGGACAGGAAGGAGAACTTCTGAAATGGAGTTGGGGTTGAACAAAGGGAATGATGAAAGGCTTTAGTTCTATTGGAAAACACTTTGAGAAATACACAAGAGGCATGAGGCAGTGGAAGGCAAAGCCATCATAAGGATCAGATGCAGGGTTATTTGCTTTCTTCTATCACTTTGGGGGTGGGTTTGCAGGCAGATCCTCTTGGGTTTGAAACTGTGCTCTAACATCTCATAGCTGTGTGACTGTGGGCAAGCTATCAGGCCTCTCTGAGCCTCAGTTCACTTGTTTATAGAATAAGAATAATAAGCCAGGCATGGTGGCACATGCCTGTAGTCCCAGCATTTGGGAGGCAGAGGCAGCCAGATCTCCGTGAGTTCAAGGCCAGCCTGGTCTACATAGTGAGTTTCAGGCCATCTGGGGCTACAGGGATACCCTGTTTCAAAAAAGACCCCCCTGCAAAAAAAAGAATAATAGTATCTACCTCCTAGGATTATTGTAACCATTAAATGAGGAAATGTATATAAACCGTTCATCACAATAAAAGGCACATAATAAGCTCTTGTTTTGGTTGTTTATTTGCATCTTTTTTGAGACAGGATCTCCCTTGGCTAGCCTGGAATTCCCTATGTAGATAGACTAGGCTGGCTTCAGACTCAGAGATCTGCCAACCTCTGCCTTCCCAAGTGCTGGGATTAAAGGCCTGTACCATCATGCCCAGCAAACTCTTTAAAAAAAATTATTTTTTGTATAGGAGTGTATTGCCTGTATGTGTGTAAGTGCACCCATATATCATGCAGTGCCTATTGAAGTCAGAAGAAGGTGTCAGATCTCCTGGAACCAGTGTTATGGACAGTTGTTAGCTGCTCTGTGGGTGCTGGGAATTGAACCCCGTCCTCTGCAAGAGCAGTCAGTACTCTTAACCACTTAGCCATCTCTCCAGCCCCTCCAACAAACTTTTGTTTGTTTTTATTTTTTATTTTTTATTTGGGGTGGGGTGCAGAGTGGGAATGTGTGTAGCTTATGTACATGTGTATGTGTACATTTGTGTGAGAGTGTTCACCCGTTCATCCACA